AGACGATGACCTTCTCCAGTGGAGAAAGGAGCATCCTTCAGTCAGGAGTATCCACATAGCTACATTCCCCTGCTGGAACCTCCAGACAAGTCCTGGAGGTCAAATGCTGCCCTCCCCAGCCTCACGGAGATCGGAACCCGGTACGTGGCTTTGTGCTCACAGCTCCAAGATGCACGTCATGGCATCTTGGTTAAAAGCCATCTCATTTGGTCTCCTGAATGTCCTGAGCTAGAGTCTTTGTCCCCTCTTCACTGATGGGTGACCTAGGTCAGGAGTGTGCTATCGAACACAGTGTGTCCAACGCATGGGAGAGCCTAGTAAATTGACGATAAGAAGGTTAAGTACCGTTCTGGAAGACCCTGACTCTGTCTACCTCATTAGCCTGAAGAGCATCTCCAGGAAACTTGGGCTGACTGATCCTCCAAGAACCCAGATCCCTTTGGCCCTACTTTAAGCAGACTTGTTCCGCCTGGTGGGTGTAGCATCTGAGCGACAGACCAGGAGAGACTTGCAATCACAAACCCTGTGTTCGCCGTGGATGTGCCGTATGACCTAGCCAAGTTCTCAAACTCTTTGAACTCGTTTTTTCATATGTCCAAGAACACCGTAGTAATGACCTTGTCAGGTTGCTGGTAGGGCCCGCAATGACCACATGGGCCACATACCTCCGGCACTCAAAGAAGGGTAGTCTTAGGGTGTGTCGCTGTAGTCATAAATGTTAGAGGTGTCACCTGTGCTGGCACTTCGCCTATGTTGATCACAATGATTTCCCCTGAATATCGAGGTAGATATGAATGTTGTATCACAAAATTAATTCTTGCCTCTTGTATAATATTCAAACAAATACGTTGAATTAAATTCTCGGTAATCTTTCCCCCAAGGTGAGAGTGTGGATGCTGTGTTATTTCAGCCTTCTTACAGTGCCAATTTGTAGATGCACTCAAACCTTTTCATTTGAGACCTTGTAACTTCCACTTGGGTTTGGAGGCGCGCATCTCAGCCCCCCTGGGGGACTATGACACAGGCATTATTCTGAGGTGAGGTATAATGGCCCCCTCTACCTTTCCAGTTCATTGTCTGGCGTACTTGATTGCGTATTAACTATGATCCTGCAGGGCCCTGCTGGCCTGGGTGACAATAGCCGCAGGGTCCCTGTGGATCCTCATTGGCTTGCTTAGCCATCTGGGGCTGTGCCTCCTCAACCTGTTGCTCTGAAGAACACTATGTGTCACATAGAGGACTGCCTTTGGGCCCCTCTGCACTGCCTCTGACAGGATAGAAAGGGATAGAGGATTCAGCGACATCTCCAGGGTCACCTGGCAACCCCGGGTAGCTCTGAGAATGGAACTCCAAACTTGCTGCCCCAGCCCAGCCCACCCCCATCTGCTCCCAACTCCCTTCTGCACGCCCCCCTCTCTTCCCTGGCACTTCCCTGTACCCACACCCCTTCTTGGCACTGCTCTGTGCCCAGACCCTTGACGTTTTCCTCTCCCATCTCTCTCCTTTCCCACCTCTGCCCTCCACCTCCTGCTCCGTGGCCCTCCCCACTTCCCTCCAAGGATGCCCTTCGGTTAAACCCCTGGTATCGGGGCTGTAGCTTTTTTAGAATGTCCAGGTGCTGTGAAGCAGGTAAAGGCTACATCTGCCTCATTGTTTCTTTCTAAACTGTGAGAAGCCGGGGGGGGGGGGGGGGGGGGCGCTGGAGAATGAAACCAGTGTTTCCCGCGAACAGTCTCCTGTATTTGACTGTGGTATTTATTTTAGGCTTGGTCACCTCCCCCGGGCTGCTCTGTTGCCTCTGTAAATTCAGCTGGCAACTCTTGGCATCATCATAACGTGGCTCGAAATACACTCCTCCGGGTGATAGGGTTTGGCTAAAATAAGCACAGGAAGGCTATTAATGGCTGCAAAGTTGGGAAACACAGGGGGGGCGGGGGCGGGATGTGGATGCCGAGAGCTGCTGCTGTGGACTGGATGCCGCAAGGGTGCTAACCTGCTGTTTCTGCTCTCCCCTCATGCCTTCCTGGATTCAGAGAGAGGTAACCAGCGATTTTTTTCACTTCTCCCCCCCTTCCCTGGTGTCTCTTGTGTCTGGTAAAACTCACTGCTTCTCCCATGGCGTCACCATCCTCACCGCCTCCTCTGCCCCCCGAAGGCAGACCTTTGTTCTGTTTAACCTTTGCTCACCATCATTTGCACCCGAGCCTGGAGTTGCCTCTGGGCCCCTAACCTCCTCCTGTGTTTGGTCCTGTGTGGGGAAGGTGATGGGCTAAGTGACTAGGAATAACAGCCGTCCCGTCCCACCGGGTCTCTCTCACTAATGGCTGCACCCATGACTCAGCATGCTGGGAAGTCAATGTGATGGACATGTTTGGGTCGTCCCATGTCACCTCACACCTGTTTCTTGGAGAGTGACAGTTCGGTCCTCTGTCGTGTTCTCTTGAGTTTCCTGGGTGGCTCGCCAGGAGTACAGTCCATTTCAGTATCAGCTATTAGCCACAGCGTGAGCAGGGCACCCTCACTTCCCCCTTTGAAGGATGTGTCCGTGGAGAGGACGTAACCATGAAATTCAAGATAACCTGTGTATCAGCTATGGTTTTAAAATGCTCTGAATGTCAGCCTCCCAATCGACAGTCTGGAAGCTTGAAGCGCCATCATTCTCCAGTGCTGTCTGTCATACGCACGCACGCACGCACGCACGCACGCACACGTCATTTTGGTAGAAGATAGGCGTTTTGAGACGTTCCAGCCATAGTGAAGAAACCCGAGGATGAGTTCCTCTTTGCTTTGGGCTCACACCTGGCTACACTTCCGGTCTTGTGGCTAGTAACCATTTTTCTGTCCTGCCCATTGATGAGCTCAGGGATTGGACGAGTGAGGCAACGTGGACCTGTCGGGTCATACTTAGCAGATATGACGAAGAGGATTTCTCCTTTTGGGCGGACACATCCTGGGCCTAAGAGTGAGCTGGAAGCGTTCTTACCTCTGTGCATCACAAGTCCTACCGGAATCCGTGGTGGGGAGGTTTCCAGACATCTGCCAGCTCTTTCCTTCCCTGTGTGTCCAGGTCTCCTTACTCGGAGACAGCTGTGACAGATGTTCCGAATACTAACAGGAAGACTGCGCTAGAGAATGTGAACCTTCTGTTCAAGTCCCCTCGCTCGCTCGCGGCAGATGGTAGAATTCAGACATGCTGTTGACACAATCCACATCGCAAGCAAGTGCCTGGAGAGGACTTGGCTGTGCAGAATGTGTTCACCCCAGATTGCAGGTTGTCTGGCCGCCCCTTTTCAGAGTGCAAGTTTAGCATCCTCCTCGAAGAAGCAGGAGAGTAAAGTTTACCTAGATGGAACCCAAGCTTGGTGAGATCCCTGATACCCACATGTGGGTACAGTCAATGTTGGGAAAATGAGACAGAGAAACACCATCCGAGACAGCCACGCAGACAGGCCTTCTAGACTGGCCATCTAGGGCAGTGAAATTCCTCAGGCCCCTTTCTCCCCCTTCCCTGTTCCTCCCAGCCTTAACACAAAACTTTGAAAGTATGAGCTCAAAATAAGAGCACACACAGTCTTGGACATAGGATTCATGTCCCCCCCAGGTCCTGGAGGTGTTAGTAGATATGTTTTGATATGTCCCGGCATCCCAGTCAGCACTCTGTGTTCTGGTGTGGGCTGACTTTTCCAAATTCCAAAATCCTGTGCTCAGCTCTGTGTGTGAAGGAAAGGGGTGAGAAAGCCTCCATCCGAAGGTGCTAGGAGTGTTTAGGCCCAAGTCCCCTGGCGGCCATCTCGTCCTGACTTGAGGCCTTGCTTCGGCCTCTCGGGAACCGCTTGCTGACCTGTAGCTTCCATAAAAAGGCAAGGCTTGGAGGAAAGGTGACTCTACATGGTATGGGAACTTTTCACGTCGTTCAGGCCACAGGGGCATTGAGGAAAGCATCCTTCGTGGAAAGGAGCCTGCATTCCCAAGTGGGTCCTTCTTCCCTTTCTCCTCATTGATGATGGCGATTGCCACTCACCAGATGTCTGTCATAGACCAGCCTTCACAAATTCTCTGCATGAAAACATCCATTTGGCCTGAACAAATATGAATTACGTGAAAGGTGTCATCTAGTCTGTGGAGCCTTGGTAAAAAAAAATTCCAGTAGAACCGGGCGGTGGTGGCACACGCCTTTAATCCCAGTACTTGGGAGGCAGAGGCAGGCGGATCTCTGTGAGTTTGAAGTCAGCCTGGTCTACAGAGCGAGTTCCAAGGCAGCCAGGGTTACACAGAGAAACCCTGTCTTGAAAAAAACCAAAACAAAGAAGAAGGAAAAAAGAAAGGGAGGGAGGGATGGGGGAGAGGAGAGAGAGAGAGGAAAGAAAGAAAGAGAGAGAGAGAGAGAGAGAGAGAGAGAGAGAAAGGAAGAAAGAAGGAAAGAAAGAAAAAGAAAGGAAGGAAGGAAGGAAGGAAGGAAGGAAGGAAGGAAGGAAGGAAGGAAGAAAGGAAGAAAGGAAGAAAGGAAGAAAGGAAGAAAGAAGAAAGAAATTCCAGTCCAGTAGAGGAGATTTAATGAGACAGTGGCGGAAATGAGGCAGATGGATAAAAGGAGGAGAGAGCTCACTGGCCATTACGGGGCCATCAGTATAGCTGACGGGGTCATCACATCTGGGGGTCCCCAGAAAGTAAAACTAGTTCAGCCAGCAAACGTACAGGGAAGGGGACTCCAGTTTCTCATTAAGAGATACAAACTATGTTTATGTGTATACATATATTTTTCCATCCAGTCACTGGAAGCCTTCCAACAAGACAGGCTGGTTCCAGAAGGAAATGAGATTCTCTATCTGGGTCCCACTGTCAGGGTCACTGTAGCAGGGACATTTGGTGTATATAGCGGCTAAGAGGTCTTTAGACACCTCTTCAGTTCCTTGGGCAGAAAGAGAAGTCCATACGTAAATTCCAGATACCCTAAGAGAGTTGCCGGAGAGACAGAAAGCGTAGACTGAGACGCTGTTTTTGATAGAGGCCATTGGAATAGAGAATTGTTTATTCGCTCATTCCATAAAGCCGGAGCAAGCCCCGGTAGGGTGCTTGGAATGCCGTGGAGCAGAGAATAATGAAAGCTGTCTTTGGTTCTTCACTTTGCCATTAAGAAATTGGAGGCTGTCAAAGATGTCTCAGCACTGACGCTTTTCTCTCCGGCAGAACTTGAGGCTGGTCCTCTGGGGGAATAATTACTGGGGAGAACAGCGAAAGAACACACGGGTTCAGTCATCAAACTGCTAGAGGGCCCAGTCTTGTCACTAGCGTCTGCTAGAATTTAAGGAGGAGACATGAGGTTACAGCTGTAAGCCTCCCACTGCCTGATGTATACAACAGAACTCCACAACCCCCGTGATGGCAAGAAACAAATGGAGTGGGGTCTCTGGGCAAGATGACCTGCCCCACACCGGCTTTGACAAGGTGGCCCCTGGTCCAGCCTTGCACACGGTGTGAGCCGGAGCAAAGGGTTCCTCCCATCAGACAGAATGTCTGGGACAGTTAGATATCTAGAAGAATGTGTGATAAAATAGGAGCCTTGTTGTGACTGGGGCCTAGTGACCATTTAGACTAGTGGTGTGGTTTTATAGATGAGATGCTGTCCTCGGAAGATGCCCCGCCACCAGGGGGCAGCAGAGGAGCCAGTCTCTAGAGATAGGACACAGCTCTGGAAGCTAATACATTTGGACTCTGGGTGGCTTTTGAAACATCCCTACTGTATACCAGCCAGCTACCTATCCCACAATGTCTGAGCCATAGGGACAGCTAGCTGCGTAGCCCACGTAGTATCCAAGCTGCTGTAGACCAACTGGGATGTAACGCCTGATAGGCACATGGCCCCGGATAGTCTCCTCCTGAGTTCCTCAGCCTAGCACTGAGATGTCATTTGCCCAACTTCCAAGGGTCCTCTGACCGTGGAGGATATGTACAATATGGTTTCTTTATTCCCTCGGAATGCAGGAAAATCACTGGGAAACATGAAAGAATCCCTAGGTAGAACCGTGATGGCATCACTGTCAGGGGAGGTAAAATTTTAGACCGAGCTAGTTAGACATGGGAGTTCATTTCTTGTCTGCTTTCATAAGTAACTGATAAGTCCAAAGAGAGAAACGATTTTTTTTTTTTTTAAGTAAGGGATCAATTTTTGTTTTAACCAGGATCTCAAATTCCCTTCTCTGGTTCAGGGTCCAGGAGGCCAAGGTACCTGCCAGCCTCCTCTTCACCCAGACAATCTAGTTTGTCGCCTACTGCTCAGTCACTCAGGCCTGGGAGTGACTCCTCCCAGCCTCCCCTTGGGCCTCCTTCACTTTAACACTCTTTCCTCGCGCGTCCCTTTCAAGGCTTCACTTTCCTTGACTGCCTTGTTTTGTTTCCGCATTCTCCACACTCGTCTCCCTGACTTCAGCTCCTTCTCCAGTCTCTGTCTCCCTCACAGACCTCACAGACCCCAAGTATCTATGCTGGGCCTCCCCACCATTGCCCTTAGCACACCTCAGTGCCCACCCTCAGAACAAAGTCTTTGAAGCGCATGCCACATGTGGCGAGGCCCATGTAGGAATGCAAGACTTGGATGCCTCCGAGTCAAGGCTAGACACACAGCGGGGACGGTGCTGTGCAGAGGGATCGTAGAGTCCTGGGACAGCATCTGGACAGCCACACCGCCACTATGGCCCCTGCGGTATGCAGAGGCTAACCCGGGGCTCTTCCAGGCTCCTGGGGATACTCACTCACCTTTAGTCTCGGAGGTCAGTTGAGCCGCCTTCTCCTCCTTGACCCTGGAGAGGCTCTAAGGAGCAGCTCACCTACCTCTGCCCAGTGTGAAGTCTGCCAGCGGGCCTCCCAGCTGGCACCTTGTCTGTCTGTGTTTGCATCTTTGATGCGCCATGGCAACGGCGCAGAAGGAAACTGTGGGAGTGAATTGGCTATTCCAATTCCAATATATATATAAAAATTCTGAATGCCATCCTACAATTTGGGGCAAGTCCTAGGGCAGCTGTATAGCTTCCTGTTGCTACTATAACAAATGACCACGAGCTTAAGCAGCCTAAAGCAACAGGTATACTTTTTTGGAGGGCTAGAGGTCAGAGGTCTACAGTGAGGCTTTCCAAGATAACGCCGCTGTGTTTCTTGTAGAAATTTCAGCCGGGCGGCGGCGCACGCCTTTAATCCCAGCACTCAGGAGGCAGAGGCAGGCGGATCTCTGTGAGTTTGAGGCCAGCCTGGTCTACAGAGTGAGTTCCAGGAAAGGCGCAAAGCTACACAGAGAAACCCTGTCTCAGGAAAAAAAAAAAAGAAAGAAATTTCAGAAGATGTCTGCCCTTTTCCTCACAGCCTGCCCTTTTGCTCACAGACCTGCTCCTGTCCTTTCATTTCTGAGGCAGGCGTTGCCTCTTTTCCCTCGGAATTTCCCTGAGCCAGTCCGACAATCCAGAGAAACAGCCCCGGCTCCCATCCTTAAGTTGGTCCATCTGCAAAGACACTTTTCACAGAGTCCATGAATTAGGACAAGAACGTCCTTGGGGAACAAGGGAAGCTATTAGTGTTGTGCTGCGGCCGCCTTTTCCAGAAGGGGGTGCTGAAAACACAGCTTCTAGCACACCAGTGGAGAGGTGTTTGGACTTCTCCTGACCGAAGAGATGCTTGTCCGTGCTTGGGTCTGAGAGACAAGCCTCGCCACCTGTGCAGACCTCCATGTCGGGGACTAGCAGCTATCTTAGGGTTATTTGAAATATGTCGTGGAATAAAGTTAGAGACACGCAGCCCTCTTGACTCTACAGAAAGGCGGCACTGGGGAGGCCGATGAAGCCTCCTAAGGGTCAGTGAAGGGTTTCACACACTGCTGTCACTTCGCAGATGTCTGCCTATCTGCTACCTACCTAAGAAGAACTAGAAAGAAAGAGGCTGCTCGAAATTTGTGAAAAGCCCCCCCCCCCCCCCCCCACCCTCTCCCCCACACCCCCCCCCCCCCAAGCCCAAGGCTGCACACTTTCACACTTTCTCCTTTGGGAAGATGTAGGTTCCAGACAGTTGCCCCGAGGCATTCATCGCCTTCCCCTGAGCCAAAAGAAAATGAAGATTAATAATAATAATGACTTTTTAAAATGATGCCCGTGAGGTTGCTCATGGAAGAAAGGACAGCACAAAGCCGGTGCTTGGGGGGACAGATCCAGAGGTTCGCGGTCCAGGTGTGTCCCATCCTCTCTGCCAGGAGCCTTGGGAATGTGTGCTTCCTGCTGACCATCCTTCAGGCAGGGAGAGCAGGCTGGGTCTTGGAAGCTTCCATCAGAAGCAAAGCAACATGGAAGTAAATGTCTCCACACATAAAGATGGGGTTAATATCCAGGCCTGGGGTCCCTCAGGTCCAGTATTCTTCTCCAAGATGCTTAGGTCTGGGAGGATTTCTGCATTTGGAAGGTTTGCATCTATATGATGAGATGAGGCCCACAACTCAATGTGACAGTTATTTCTTGTTCACATAAGTCATAGGCAATTTTAACACCATTTTGATAATTTCATTAAAAGTAGAAGAAAAAGTTTCATGGAATGAAATTTTCTACTGGTGGTACCCTGTCAGCACCCAGAAAGTTTTGGCTTGAGGATTTTGGGGTTAGGGCTATTAGCTAAGTTATACCAGGAATGTACTTAAGCTTCTTTGCCTGAACCCAGTACCCTTCTCCCTGTTCCTTCCTGTCCCTTAGAAAGGACAGATATGAAGAGGAACTGTCCATTTCTACAAGAGAGGGTACAGCAAGCAGAATTTGCATGCTGACAACATTTAAACAAGCAAGGCCTTGTGGGCCAGAGGGCAGGCAGACCTCGGGTGGGCTGTGCTGGGTAGGTGAGCTCTGGACAGTGCAGGGGGATGGGGGATGGGTACCAAATGAGGGAAGACACCACAACACGCAGTTGTGAAGACCCTCTTCTCGAGTAGAGAGAGGGGGAGACCTTGGCAGAGGGGATGATGCTTAGAAGACGTTACAGACATTTTAACAACCCTTAAAATCCAGACAGGGGGGTTTTCACTCTCTGTGAGTGACCCATGGGAATCTGGAGAGATTTGCCCTCAGAAGGACGGCAGCCAGACCTGGGCGTTTGAAGGGGAAGAGTTGTAAGACTCTGAGCCTTACCATCTGGAGAATGAAGGGAGCTTGAGGAGGAAGCCGAGAACGGGGCTTCCCTTGAGCGGTCTCCAGAAGCGAACTGTGGCCTTTTTTAGGTCACATGTTTCCTTGGTGGCACGTGAGACGGGGATGGGAAGGCCTTGGGAACACAGTGTGGAGAAGGACTGTGCTCACCTCTCAAAGTCCGCCCCGCCCCCAAACCTAACTCTTCTTCCGGTGCCATGGTATCCGTCCACACCCCCAGGTGTGACGTCACTATTGCTTACAGGCCCTAGGGACACGGGGAGCCAGCGTGTGCTTCGGTCCATAGATGTTACTAATTCCTGTTGCGGCCTGGCCCAGGACAGGCATAGGGAATAAGATATAAATCATCTTCCTGGAGCTTCGTGGACTTCCCCAGGATGCCCACCGGAGAGTATGGTGTATCCAGAGAACCTGAGCCCAGCAGTGGCAATGGAGTAGAGACAGGAAGCAAAGGCAAGCGTAAAAAAAAAAAAAAAAGTGCTAAAACGCTGAGCACTGCTCAGGCTAGAGGGGAAGCAAGGGATTCAGGAGATGTCCAGGTGGTGAGATCGGCCAAAACATTGGGATCGGTACAGGGCTGTGGCCGGCGGGCTAGGGGACATTTCATTCCAGCAACTGAGATAGTCAGTGAAGGGGCAGGAGGCAGTTAGGACAGATACTGAGGGCAGGTGAGGGCAGGCTGAGGGTAGAAGCCATGAGGTAGCAGACAGGGATGCCCTAGCCTGGAGACCATGTTTAGGACCAACTCCGGGGCTTTCCAGGACTCGTAGGCAAGGAGGTGGGTTTCTCTTCCCAATCCTTCGGGATCACCAACTTTCCCCCATCCCAGTACCACACTTCTGGCTAGCCCTTCATGTGGTCCTCTATGCAATTCTGCCAGCTCCTAGATTAAGAGAGGTTAACTTGCGTGGTAGCTCACACCTCATCCTAGCCCTTGGGGAGGTGGAGACAAGAGAATTGCTGTAATTTTGTGGCCAGCCTGGGTCACATTGTGAGGCCATCTCTCAAAAGTCCACAGATAAGGGCTGGGGAAGGTGGCCCAGCAGTTATGAGTGTGTGCTGCTCCTGCAGAGGACCCGAGTTTGGTTCCCAGCACCCACCCCACAGCTCCAGCTGCATCTCCAACTGCCTCTGGCCTCAGGGCACCTGCACACATGTGTGCATTCCCACACACATACATAGAATTAAAAAATAGATGATATCTTTAAAACTGAAAAAAAAAAACTAGATAGGAAGACAAGTCATATAAAAATAAATTCAATTAATGTGTGAGGTAGTTCATGCTATGATTTCAGCACTTGAGAGGTTAGGAAGAAAGATTGGCATTCCAGGCCAGCCTCGGCTACACAGTGAGACCTTTTACTTCCTCTTTGGAGAGCCACTGTCTCCATTAATAGCAGCAAGAAACTTAATTGTGCAGTATGGTTGTTTTGAAGCCAAGTAATGTCATCATGGGTATCGGTAACACAGAACAATCAGCATAGGCCGCTTGCTCTCGCTAACAGCTGTGTTACATAGGAGACCAGCATTGTCCCCAGAGCCACAGTGTGGGTGCTTTAGCAGAGTCACATGCCTTTGGTAATAGTCCAGTCCACAGGATATGTGCGTTCCAGTGTTCGCTGGTTGCCCATCAACTTTCCCAGGCAGCTGTGGGGCTGGCCCGTCCTCAGTGCACAGGTCCACACATCACAGCCCATTGTTCCTCTTCTGCTGTCTGCCATTATATCGTTCTGCAATTCATATTCTTTGTTCATCGTCCATCCATGTTCATCGTCTCATTGTCTTATTTGTTTCTGCTCTAGACAGACGCTTTCAGCTGAATTCAGTGCTCACTGGGTGTTCCCCATCCCTAAGTTCAGGAGCTAGGTTTAGAAGACTTTACTCCTGTGTTGCCTAGCAACAGGTCCCTAACAGCCATGAACCCTGCTTCTGCTGTCTGTAGCTGTTGATGTTTTGGTTTTTGTTTTTAATCTGCATCCACAGTTCACCACCACTGACATGCTGGCTGTGAGCTCAGTTAATATTCATAACGAGAGCACACATGGACGAAAGTCTCCTTTGCCTAATAGCCTGGTAAATTTCCTTTGCACAGGGATTTTGCTTATGTCGCAAGAGACAAGGACACGAGGCTTCTGAAATGTCACGTGTTTCGATGTGACACACCAGCAAAAGCCATTGCCACCAGTCTCCACGAAATCTGTTCCAAGGTAAGGTGGGTCGGGGCGCAGGGTCTGGCCTCCCTGTTTCCTCTCCCTGCCTGAGCAGACAGAGGCAAGCAGAAGGGCAGGAGAGCTGCCTGTGGAAGTCGGCAGGGTGGTGTTCAGCCCGCATCATTAATGTGTCGTGGACCTTCGACATCCAGGGCATATCGATAACAGTCCCATCAGGGTCACCCACTCACATCCTCGGATGTGGGTCCCTCACAAGGTGGCGGAGTATTTGCGTGTAACCTATGCTTATCCTCCTGTGAATGTCAAGTCACGGCTCAGTTACGTACACCCAGAGAGATGACGTTCATCACCTTGCGATGGGCATCTTGGGCTGGGACTGAAAGTGTGAGTTACTCCCAGGGCCACCGTGACTGGGCTTACACCACTGTGTAACTCACCGGTAGGGAATAAGAACATGCAGTGTGATGCCCGCACACAGTGACCATTAGTGTCCCTCACAGAAGGCTCAGAGAATAGCCATGATGGCAGCTGCCATTCCTGAGCCCTCTGGACTCCTGTAATACCCGTTTCTTCCACACAATGGCGCCGTGACATACATACTCCCGTCTGTATTCAGTGAAGGCGATGAGACATGGAAGAGCAGCTTCCTGAGCCAAGGCCACAGCTCGTAAGGGATGGGAACCATGCACTCTGTCCCCAGAGCCCTGGAGTATCTAAGAGTTGACATGGGGCAGCTCCTGAGCACAGGGGGGTGGAAGGTCCAGGTGTCCCCAGAGTGTGCATGCTGGATTGATCTACAGAGGTGAGAACCAGGAGCTGGAAGAAGTCACTTCCAAGCACTTAAGAGAACCGTTACCCTGAGGAAGTGTTCACCCGTCATCCCCAGCAGGGAAAAGTGAAATCACACGTAATTCAAGGAGACTGACAGAGTAAGAGAGGCAGAAGATGAACGCTAGTTTAAATCCCAGCAGGATCAGCTCAGACACTTGACTGACAGGGCTGGCTGGTGACGTGGGGTCTGTAACTGTGAACCCAAGCTGCCCTTTCATTTGATGTCTAGATTATGGCTGAACGGAAGAATGCCAAAGCCTTGGCCTGCAGCTCCCTACAGGAGAGGACCAACATGAGTCTCGACGTCCCTCTGCAAGGTACGTCTCTGCAGCGGCTCCTCCTCCAGCTCCTCCTCCGAGGCTCTAGCCAGACAGGCAAGACTGAAGGGTTGCAGGGGTTTGCTTGTGTTTCAGGTCTCCTTTAAAAGCACACTCACGGGCTGGAGAGATCACAGCAGCTACCCTTACAGAAATACCCAAGGTTCGATTCCTAGTACCCCCAGGGCTGCTCACCACCATGTGTAACTCCGTTTCTAGGGCATCCATTGTTCTCTTCTGGCTTCTGCCGCCACTGCATGTATGTGCCACACATATATGCAAGCTAGCAAAACATTTCATACATAGAAAATAAAAATGGGCCCTAAAATTGGGCATGGTGGCCCCCAACCTAGAATCCAATCTCTAGAATTCGGGATGTAGAAGCAGTGGGACCATGAGCCAGCCTGGGTGCTGCATGGTGAGACCTTGCCTGGGTGGTGGAGCGGGAGAGGAACGTGTGCTCCAGGCCCTGCAGAGGACAGAGTTGCTTTTGTCCATAGCATTGAACACAAAGGGCGGTTGCTTTTTGTTTCTGTTGAACAAATTAAAGAATATTGTCAGCAGAGTTCTTTTGTTTTGTTTTCAAGATTTATTTATTTATTATGTATAGAGTGTTCTGTCTGCATGTATGCCTGCAGGCCAGAAGAGGGCGCCAGATCTCATTACAGATGGTTGTGAGCCACCATGTGGTTGCTGGGAATTGAACTCAGGAACTCTGAAAGAGCAGCCAGTGCTCTTAATCGCTGAGCCATCCTTCCAGCCCCCTTGTTTTGTTTTTTAATCTCATGTATAGCCCTGGGGTAAGGACTCCCTAGTTTAAAGCTTGTTAGTTGGGGAGACTATGTTATTTCTCCTGTGCCTTTGATCATATAGACTCTTTGATTAAACTTTCTTTGGGCACCAGCCATACCTCACAACCAGGGCATGAAAAGCTGTTTCTTAGCACACGAAAGACTTATCTGGTTTTTGCCTTCCAAAGCATTTCATCTTGAGAGATGAGGAGGGATTAGACTGACCAAGCTCCTACGTCTAGAGTCGAGAAATGTGGTCCTTATAGAATGTCTGGGAACAGGATGTTCTGGAATGGGCGGCCACCGGGGCCTGGAGATGCCAGATGGACAACTGGGTTTTCCCTGTCTCCCAGAACTACTGAGAAACACACTGCTTTTCTTTTTCCTGTAGTAGATTTTCCAACACCAAAGACAGAGCTGGTGCAGAAGTTCCATGTGCAGTACCTGGGCATGTTACCTGTAGACAGACCTGTTGGTAGGTAAAACTTTGCAAGACTTCCAAAGCTCACAGGAGCCATTGGCTCTCCCATGAGGGTGAGGGCCTCTGTGCCACCCCTCATCTGACTTGAATCACACCTGTGTGGTGACCCCAGCCTGGACACATAATCATCCTGATCACGTGGGCAATAGAGGGCAAGCTGACCTTGACTTGATGTGTGATCCCAGCATGCAGAGACTCTAAAGAGACAGGGGTGGATTTTCTGTTTTCCCAGCATTCCAGAGAAGAGCAACCCAGGACTGCAGAGGTCTCTGGCATCTAGCTTTGAGGCCAGGCTCCTGCCTCCGTTCTTACCCACTGGGGACAGGAAGGGAAGACTGATGGAGTCCCCCTATCTTTACACTATGACCCACAAGTGGTATCTCCAGTGTTCGGGTCCTCCCCGAGTGCCAGGAACTGAGGGGCTCCGCTTGCCCAAGCTCACAGAGAGGCTGGGAGCTGTAGCTTCTCCCTGACTGGAAGAGGCTGTGGAGAAATCAGAGCCCTGGGCTCTGCTGGGGATAAAAGTCAGATGCTCCGTGGGTAGCAGTTGGGCAGTTCCTCAGAGGGTTAA